GGAAAAAAAAAAATATATAAAAATAATAATAATAATAAAAAAAATAATCCAGCAGCACTTGGGAGTGAGACATTCCACTTCCGTGCCCTTTAAACAAAACCATCCTATCATTACCTTTGCCCCCCTCTCAGGGAGCGTGAGCGACAGTGAGAAGCGGGGAACCTTTTGCTTTCTCCTTACCCAACCGGTCTGTCCCAGCAGCCTAATTCTCCATCTGGCTCACTGCTTCGTCCTGACCCTCCAGAGAGTTTGCTGGCTGAGGGGTAGACAAGTGTTCCAGCTCATAATGTCCGTTCCTCGCAGCCGCCGCGCTGCTCGGCTGACCCTTTTCCCCTGCCAGCTTTTTACTCTTCTTGCTCTCGATGATCTGCTGGAGCTGACGCCCAGCGTAGTCTGGTTTGGCAGTGAGCGCGGTGGCGGGCACGGCGAGCCCCAGGATTTCGGGTACCATGTAAGGCCGGAGCCAGCCCACCAGCGGGGTGCTGCCGGGGGTATAGTGGGTTTGCTTGTGATAGAAGAGAAGTCCATCAACCTGTAAAAAGGAAAGAGAGAGAGGGAGAGTGTGAATGAAAGGCCAGAGCTGGAGGCTTTTGCAGGTGGATGACAGAGCGCCAGACGACGGCACCGCTCTCCGTTTACAGGCCAAAACTACCAGCTGGATCATTTTTCCTCAAGCAGCGCAATAAATAGCGGAAGGGAAAGAAGAAACCTGCAGAGCCGCTGTCCTGAAAGATCAGCGCAAGCCCAGCGACTGCCGGATGGCTTTAAATCCTCAATGGCAAACGATTTCGGCACCGACCAGCACTTTTCGTCTAGTTGCTATGATCCCATTCTGCAGAAAAGCCATCAGGTTTCTGAAGAAGGCAGCGCACAGAAAGGCCACTTTACTGGATTAAGGTTATTTTAAATAATACATTTGGAGAGTAATTAGTCAGAGCGCGTGACGCCAAGGAGCCCTGATTCGTAACGCTGCTGCAGCTCTTTCAGCTGGCTTATGCAAAATAAATTCTTAATGTTTCCCAAGAGAGAACTTCTCCAGCAATCAATGACAGTTAAGGGCACTCAGGACTTTGAAGGTTTAGGCCCTAATCTTGTGCTGCTATTTCCACACACTGCAACACTGCAGCTGCCTGACGTTTTCCCCGCTTCCCCGCCGTGCTAAGGGATTTTTACCCACCCCCACCCCCCGTCTTCCTGCGCTTCCCAGGGGCGTGCTCTGCGAGGTTAGATCCCGCTGCCAGGCTGGCTAACGCTGGAGGTGGTGCTCCTCTTAGCTCAGCCTCCTAAAAGCTCTTAAAAGGCCATTTAGCCTATGAGTAAGAGGGGCTGAGGGGGCAGAAGAGGTTGCTCCCAGGCCCCAGCCTCCAGCCCCCTGAATATATAGGGTAGAACAGCACCTATATGGGTGAACCAAGCGGATCGAGGCGATTTCTGGTACCGTGCTGGACTGCAAGCCGGGCTGAGCGAAGAGCAGCACACGTCTATCTCGGTTCCACGGATGCTAACCTCCAGCATGAGTGCAAAAGAGCTTCGCGCACTACTCTGTCCGGAATTTTCAGTCACTGTTAAGATCTTGCAAAATAATCCCAGAAAAAGGGGGATTCCTGTGCTAGGAAAACATGAAACCGGAACAGTAAACATCACGATGAGCTTGTGTAACCCTCTGGATATCTAAAGTACAAAGCTTCTCCCTCTCCCTGCCTCCCAGGCAGACTTGGGAAGAGCCAGATTCCACGGCACCCCAGCACCACGCCTGCACATCCAGCCCATTCCTGCGGGTGTGCGGCACTTGGCGAGCAACGGGGGATTCTCCGGCACCCACAGGAATGTTTTGGTAAAGAACAGAGCCTGCAAAGGCTTCTGCCTTCCAGACAGCTCCAAAGATCTTCCCCGAGCTGGAGAATTCAAAGGAGTCCACCCTGGCGGAGAGTTAGGTTGTGTTCTTCCTTCCCCTGATTTCTCTTAAGTTACTGCAACTCCTGTATTCCTTCCAGTTTATTTAATTTCTTGGCCGGGTCCCTCCCTCGAGTCACCGCATTGACAACAGCCACATCAGAATAAGCGCTAACGCAGTCTCTAAACGACCGAACCTGATGAGAAACAGGCTTAGCAGCATTTCCCGTTTCATGGCCCCGCTTTTCGGATTTTAGGTGCTTAATAATACACCCATTCCTTCACACAGGTGTCTCTCAGAGCCTTTGGCTCCCCCCTGCCTTTATGGAAACCTGGATGTTTTATTTAGATCCGTGAGTAGGACAGTAGCTCTTAAGATCCCCTCCAAAAAACCACTTCAAATTCAGTGCCAGTCAACTGATCCAAAGTCCACCGAATTCAGCGGAAAAAGACTTTCCCCTGAATGTCGCGCATCAGGTCCTAACTCTAAGGTTACAGATTAACTCTGAAGAGTAAGGTCTGAAAGCAACGATCACATCTGTTGCCACCACACGTAAGGATCACAAGATGCTGGGCCCAGGCATAAGGAGACCGGAGACCTCTATTACACTGCACTATCTATAGCAAGGCTCTATTTTGCCTCCTGCAAAGTTTCGTTCTTTACGTGCCGTCGGCGGGAGCCATTTACGGTTTCTTGGGCTCCCTCTCGTGGCACACCACGAAGAGACCCAGGGCTCCCCTCCCGTTCCTGGCAGCTGCACGATGGGGTTACCGGCCGCCTTTGAGCCAAACGACATCACGTTTCACTTGTTGGGGTCGCACCCCGATGTATCGGCCGGAGAACCTGGGGGCAAATCACAGCTGGATTATAAGGGAGAGTCTGATCAACTCCATCTCTCTCACCGGGCGTTTCGCAACGATCTCCTTTGTGGTTCAAAACGTTTCTGCTCTGACCGCAGTGGGGCAATACTCCTCAGCCTTTTCTCGTGGGAGCAGATGCCTCAGGAAGGAATGAAATCAGCAAAGACGGGAATGACTGTTTCTACAGAGGCACTCAGAGGCATTTGTAATTGAGCAAGTCAGCTGCAGGAAACCTGGGATGCCGTCTCCACATTCCCCAATCTGCGTTCGGAGCAGGGGCTGGGACTTTCCGACTCTCTCCAATGACTGTGCTGGCTCCGACAAGCAGAAGGCAAAGTCAGCCCTCACAGCCAAATTATCCTCCCGTAAATTTAAACTTGCACTTATGTTGATCACAAACTCGGGCTGAGAGAGCACAAGAGGCATAGTCAAATCAAGGTGGCTTTTGGCTTAGCAGGACAAGCAACCTCTGTAGAGGCTGTCCCTGATCTAGGGCTGAGACTGGGCACTCCGCAGGAACTGCTGCAGCCACCGGAGGAGCTTCTGGCTCCCAGATGTTTGTCGCTGATGCTATGCCGGAATGCCACCACCTCCTCCAGCCTCTTCCGCTTCAGTGCCAAGTTGGCAAGGACAGCCACCAAAAGCAGCCTGAGCTGTTTCACCAGGGCCCCCGACTCGCTGCTCACAACTACACGGAGCCCAACTGGGTGGCACACCGAGTTGCTCGTTCTGCCTTTCTCCCACAGGTCAGCAGAGGGTTCAACAGCACAACAGCACCAACTTCTAAAGCTGCTGAGGCACATGTAGGTGTTCTGTTCAGCCGCTCTTGCTGGAGGAACGGTCACCTTGAGCAGCAGGAGCCTGCTGGTTCTGACTGGAGTAAAAAGCAGAGCTGGAGCTATCCCCTCCGAAAGATCCAACATTAGGAGCGGGAGGTCAGCCTCATCTGAACCCCTTCCAGCCATTTCTGCTACAGCCATGTGCCCCCAGCACCAGTACGTCTCAGGCGCCCATCACTAACACCTGGACCCCTCAGAGACCACCGGGAGCTTCCCGCCACCCTTCTCTTTCCTCCCCACGAACCACGAGACAGCTGGGTGCCTTCCACACAGACAAGTAGCTAGACTAAGGAAACACAGAGCCTGTGACAGAGGTCAGAGAAAGACACCACTGCCCCCACCCCGCAGACCTCTCGAGGACCACCATCACCTAAGGGGGCACACCGCACTTATCCTCACGCCGGTACTCATGCAAACCCACCCGGGGCAGCAGGCGGTACCAGCTTTGGCCCTAAAAAGGTCAGCTGTCCATCACGCTGCCAGGTGAACGTGAGCTACGCTGCTTCTGGAGGCAGTCTACATGCCCGCATCAACCCCCTTCTCCCCAGAGCTCCTTCAGACAAGAGCCACCAGCAGGAAAGGCAGCCCAAACACAGGGAACGCTGGCGTTTAACTCTTGCTAATTAGTTCGGTTGGGCGCAGCCTGTACCTGGTGACAGGGTAACAAATCAGCCACGTGCATAAAAGGTATCGGTGCCCCATACAGAGAAACAACAGCGCAGCTCAGTAAGCTTCCCGCAGGCCTCGGGAGAGCACAGCTCCCAAGCGAAAGGGGATGCACCTCTCTCCAAGCAGCGGCAGATGCGCAGCGGGGCTGTCTCTAAGGCTGAGGTCCAGGCCCCTGCCTGCGTGTTCTCACCTCGAAGGGGAAGTCCATAGCCAGAACCTTACACAGGCTGTCCGAGGTGCAGGGGAAGTTCTGCAGGCCCACAAATTTGAACTGAAAGAGTAAGAGAGGGTTAGAAGAGACAACTGCATGGCCTAAAGCAGAACAAGTCACCGAATCGAGCGCTGGTGTGGAGACAGCTACGAAGGAAGGATTTCCCCCAGCGCGAAATCCAGCATGAGAGAGACGGGGTGAGGGACAGGCAGCAGACAAAGTAACCAGAGAGGAGATCTCAAGCAGGAACCGGATCATTAAACTGCTGGCCTTCCTGCCACGGGGTACTGGGGACCCAAAAGCACAAACAGGCTCTAAAGAGGACTAGACCAGCTCCTGAAAGGCAGGTCCCTGGTGGCCATTCACTCCATGGTCTAGGTACAACCACTGGCTGACAAAGTCAGGGGGAACACAACAGGTACCCTGACTCCTTACTCTTGCCATAGCGACTGGTATCTGCGATTACTACGGGTTATTGGGACAGACAGTCTTCTGATGCGATTCAGAAGCAAACCGCAGATCTAGAGACAAAACAACAGGACCAAGCTGCCCATCGGTGCCGATCATACCCCACTAAAGTCACTGGAAATGCTTGTGTGAAAACCTACAAAAATCACTCCAGCTAGTGGAGAGGATGGGGTGGGAAAAGTCTTTAAAGATAATCCCTGCCATCTCTCCAGCAATGCTGGGTAAAGCACGTACATCGCTGCAACTTTATAAATCTCATTGCAACACAAGATGACTTTTAAAAGAAAACCGGGGGATTGCCATCACGATGCCCAGGCAGCAGGGAATCTAGAGGGCCCAGGAAGATCTATTTCAGGTATTTTACCGTCCCAGTTCCAAATGACCCCCTCTCTGGCATTTAATGAGAGAGGTGGATGGCAGAGACTCGGCACACAGCTCCCATATTCTCCCAATACCTCTTTTCCAAGCATCTAAGGCTGCAGGAAGGACATTTCAGGAGAGCTGACCCTGAGATGCTCTTTTAACCAAAATAGAAAATGATGGCCTCTGGGCAGGATGCAAAGCAGACAGACGTCTGCTCCAGGCTGCTGGCTCAGCCAAGCCGATCTTTCCACCCAGGAAATGAAAGCTGAAACAACCCCCTCTTCGTTAGGTAGCTGTCTTCTGGATATTGCCATGGGAGTCAGAACAGGATATTCTTTACATATAGATTCCTTCGCTGCTGGCAGAGGAGCGGTCATCCCCTTTTATGACCGATCCGCTTAACCCACAGGAGCTGCTCTGCTTAGCTGTGTCTGAGCACGCACGGAGGCCGCACAGCGATCAGGTCCTGCTTTGCAAACTGCGCTCCATAAGCCAGGCTGCCAAATCTCTTACGTCTGTCCCCAAAAATCACTTTCCAAGCTGCTGTGGGTTCTAGGTCTGACCTCCACGTGGAAGTCTTCAAAGGAAGACTTTTTATCCTTGCTCAGCAGGGACTCCAGGTGGTAATCCGGCATCCATCTCGACAACTTCAATGATTAATTTAAGCAGGAGGGAAGGCTAAAGCTTTATGAGCCTTTCCCCTTGCCTTGTGAGCCCACAAGACTACGCAAGAATAAATTCCATTGTAGTCAGGCTGCCGACTAACACTGCCCCTGTAGAAACCACACTGGTTTTCCATTCCATTTCAAGGGAAAGCTAAAAACGGCATGGAAGTTAGCTGATACCCTGCAGTCTGATCTCCCTCTGCACTTTGGCTTGGGGAAAAAAAAAAAAGACATTCATTTACAATACTCAGTGGTTCTATTTACATCCTGAACATGGCATCCCATTTCATCAGAAGTACATTTTGAAGCCTGATCTGTGAGGGAAAAAAAAAAAAAAAAAAAAAAAAAAAAAAAAAAGGTTCGGTCTGTGACAAAAGAACTTACTGGATTAATCCTGCTTTTCTCTCCCAGCCCTTCCTCCTCTTGGATCTTTGAGGAAAGCCAGAAGAATCTGAAGTCGGTCTGTGAAAGGAGGCAGAGACTTAATGACTATCCACCACACATCCACCGATCAGCACCTGCCGAGCAACTCCACTCCTCTGCACTTGCCTGGGAGATTTACAAATTCAGCTTCACCTGCAGAACCAGCCAGCACCCTGAACTCCGCTATTTCTCCCGAAAGATGTACCCAATTATTCCAGTACCCAGCAGCCCACAAGCTGTAAAGATGCTGGTGCTTAAATGAAATATCCATCCTGCTGCGCAGTGGGCTATGTCCAGTGCTGGCTGCAAAGCAACTCACAGAACAGGGAACAAAAGGCAGGGCAGGGCAGAGCGGGGAGATTCAGTACCTGGCAGTCATAAACAGGGTGTCCTCTCCAGCACATCACATCGAGGATATAGTACGTCTGCTTTACCTCATTGTAGATGCAGTCCAAGATGCAGTACACTGCGCACACAAACACAGGGAGGTCCAGACATGCTCCAGGGGCTGCCCAACCCAACAGGTAAATGCCAGATCAAATGCCTCCTGCGTTAAGCCTGCCCTGACATAAGGCCAAGAGGTGCAGAGGGATCCCCTTCCGCTAACAGAAGCTGCGACCACAGAAAGCCTTTAGCTTGGAGTCCAACAAGGCTACAAAGGTACCGCCAGAGGCACGTCAAACAAAGGCGTGCTTCAGAAAAAGGCATTTACGCAACAGTAACCCCTCCTCAGGGCAAGCAAAGCAACTGCAGGAGGTATTAAGACAGGGCACTGTACACAGCTCTCTGTTGGAAGATAGAGAAGATGCTGAGGTTTAAGAGTGTCAGTTAACCAGGCAGCTAATTAAAATATGTTCCTATCTAGTATAAAAGTATAAGACATTGTCCATGTCTAGTTATACCCAGAGACACACAAACAGGCCTGAAGCTAACTTTCCCCTGGCACCACAAAAGGGCACGATTTCAGGAGCCAGGGAGCTGAAGGAGCCGCACCGAGCCTGCCAGCGTGCACACACACAGGGAGAAGCAGGCGGTTCCCCTCTCTCTATCCCAAAAGCCTCCTCACACTATTACCTTTCTCGCTGGTTGAATTGTGCCGGTTCCCCCCTGGCAGCAGGGACGGGAACCTGTTGACGCAGAAGCCGCTCTTGGTGTAAGCTGCTGTTGTGCCCTGTGAGGAAATGGGAGAGAAAAAAAAAGTCAGGCAATACACATGGGCCAGTCTTATGTTGGTTGGGAAATGGGTACGGGTCCTTTATCAAATGGTGAGACACCACCACTGCTGCGGCTTACCCTGGATGCCACAACCAGCGCCCTTTTCCCGACGGGACACACCACTACAACCCACTCCTGCTCCAGATCCAATGGGACATCGACCAGCCATTCAGACAGCATCAGCTACGGAGAAATCCAGAAAAAAACCCCAAGCAGTTAGCAACAACTCTCCTGAAGTTATGAGAAACTCACAGCGAGAAGGTTTCAACTTGGCTCCTACAGCTACACTGGGTGCTTCAGAGGGAACCTTGCACTACTTGTCACCCTGCACTACAGCACCAAAGGGGCTCCTTCCCTCTCTCAAACCAACCTCCACAACAGACTCTCTCCCAAGTCCTTCTCTTGCTTCCCAGCTGCTGACTAAGCTTCAGACTACAGCACGGGGCTCACAGTCCTCGTTTGGGCACCTCTGTACCTTGGCCCCCACTCCAGCACTTTAAATTTATTTATTTATTAATTTATAAATTCATGGCAGAGCTCAGAGATTCCTAAATACTAGGAGTAAAGAGCCCAGACAAGTTGGCCTCTTCAGAGACTGTCTGGTTGTGATCACCTGAAAGGCTGTATGTCTTTTAGGCCCAATAAGGCAGCCAAGGCTGATAAAACCCATCAGCTGAGGCTTCCCTTCCTTCCTAGTCTCAGACATGAGGAGAGATGGAAGTCTTTAACTGACTGCTGTACAACAAGACGTAAATGCTGCTAGCTGAGCTGCCATGATAGAATCACAGAATAGTTTGGATTGGAAGGGACCTTTAAAGGCCATCTAGTCCGTGCCGCTGCAACCACCAGGGACATCTTCAACTGCTGCTCAGAGCCCCGTCCAACCTGACCTGGAATGTTTCCAGGTATGGGGCATCTCCCACAAATGCACACTGCCAGCTCACGTCCAGCTTTTCATCCACCGGCACCCCAAGCCCTTCTCGGCAGGGCTGCTCTCCATCCCTTCATCCCCCAGCCTGTATTGATACCGAGGGTTGCCCCGACCCAGGTGCAGGACCCTGCACTTGGCCTCGCTGAACTTTATAAGGTTCACACGGGCCCACTTCTTGAGCTTGTCCAGGTCTCTCTGGATGGCACCCCATCCCCCAGCACATCTCCTAACGCACACAGGCAACCCACCTCCACCTGTCCTCCATTTGACTGCAGCTCGTCTCAGGGGCAGAACCAAGGCACGGTTCCTCACCGAGCACCAAGCCAGGCAGGACACGTTATTCTCAGCCTCAACGCAGCATCATGGCTGCTCACCATCTGCAGCACAGCCTCAACCACCCCGCATCCCTCACCCTGCCCTGCGTTCACACCCACACCCCGTCCTGGGGAGGCAAGGCAGCTCCTCACCTGATTGGCATAGCGCTTGGGCAGCTTCTTGCCAGCATCCACGTCCATCTCCTCTTCCTCCCCATCTTCCCCCTCCTCCTTCTCCTCGCCCTCGCTCTCCACCCCTGCCCAGTCGTCCTCCGCCAGCCTCCTGGCATGGTTCACGTAGTCCAGCCGCCTCCTGAGAGGGGGAGAAGAAACAACTAACTTTTCAGTTATTGAAGTAAGACTTCTAGAAATAATGCCTTACTGATATTTCTATAAGCCAACTAGAGGAACACCTGAGGTTCATTGACCCTTTACATCTGACTGTAGAGCACAAAGAGTGCTCAAATCAGTCTGGGCATGCATTCTGATTTGGACTTGTTCCTCTAGGGACAGGTACATAGAGTGGGATAGGATTATGATATTTAACTGTTTTTTTCACTGGTGCTTTCCTTCGACGCCATGACGCACTTCCGCCCGACGCAGAGGGGCGGAGCCGCAGGCGCGGGGGCCTCCCCTTCCCCAACCCTCCCGCGCCCCCTGGCGGTGCGGAGGCTCCGTGATCCCCCGGCGGCCGTGACTCAGTTTCCCCTCCCGCAGGGAGTGGGACGGGGACAGCCGGGACAGGGGCGTGGGGACGTTCAGGGCGGGGATGGAGGGGGACACTGCAGTCAAGGATGGAGGGGACATTGAGGGTGGGAATGGAGTGGGACACAGCGGACAGGGATGGAGGGGACATGGTGAACAGGGATGGAGGGGGACACAGTGGACAGGGATGGAGGGGACACCCCGGGCAGGGATGGAGGGGACATTCAGGGTGGGGATGGAGTGGGACACAGTGGACAGGGATGGAGGGGACATGGGGAACAGGGGTGGGGGG